GTAATAGATTTTAAAGTTAATTTTATCCAAAGTAAATAAGCATTAAATTATTTTTAATCCCTAAAAACACATTTTAGTTTTGAGCAAACATTAACAAATTGTTAGGTAAAATATCATATTGATTGATACTCCAGAAATAGGGTTGTTAAAAAAACTCGTCGTTCACGAGCAGCTCGTGTTCGGGTAGTTAAATATCTTGTGTTATATTCATTCGTTAAACAAGTGAGTCGAACACGAATAAATTTTTAAGCTCGATTTATAAATGAGACAAACCTGAATAAAGATTTGCTCATTCGTGTTCGACTTATTTTGACTCGAAATAATTAAATAATAATATTTTTATATTTAAATTTTAAATTTAATATTATCCATATAGTAATATAATATATTGTGCAATAGAAAAAATTCAATTTAAAAATATACAATTTTTTTTAATTGATAATTTAATTTAAATAGTCTGAATTTAATTTTGGGCATTAGATCCTCATCTAATGATCTAAAGATTAAAACTTAATACATATATAAGGCTAAAAAATTCTAAATTCATCACCCTTCTTATTTCCTTCGGTTGTCTCCCCTATTTTGTAATTATGTCGTGTTTGTGTCTTATTTCCTTCAACTAGCTCCTCCGCTCCTCATCGTGCGAGTTAAGAGGCTTAGGGTTGTCTTCTTCGTTCTTCCCATTCCGTCCAAAGAAGCCCGAAACTATGGTCACCATTTGTTTTTTTATATAGTTTAAAATGACATTGATAAGAAAGCTTATTTTCTTTCTTTTCCATAAAGAATTTCACTAATCATTTGCTCATTCACTGTTGAGTTCTTCTTAAGTTAGTATTTAGTAACAATGTTAATATTTTTTTATTTCGAAATTCATATTTGATATAATTTTGAACTTTATATATTATTTTAATTTTCCTAAATATTTTTTATTGATAGTTGTTGTGGGTGCATTTGTTTTTTTTTTTTTGTTGCTTGTCATGGAAGATTTTTTAGGTGTTGGCCTTGTCACTTCGCATTGGGGTTTTTATTTCTGTGCAATTGGATTTTTTTTATGTTCTTTATTTGCATTTATTTAGGCAAACAATTGTTTGGTCTCTCCCTCTACTTTACCCTTAATATAATTAGTACGCAACCGAGTAAAGTGGGATAAGTTTTTAAAATTTATTTCTTTGCCTTTGCTTGTCCATTTTTTTCCCCATCTATTCAAGTGTTAGAGATAGAAAGATTATTGTTCCACATGTTGTGTGATAGTAAAATTAAACGAAACAAATTTGAGAAGTTTCATATGTTTTTTGTTTACTATTAGATGATTGATTTTTTCTCTTCTTATTCATTATTATTTTGATCTTATATGACAAATATCATGGATTTGATCTTCACTTCCACTGTAAGTTCCAACTGTTTTTAAAAAGCATCAAAAAAGAATTTTTTGCTATTATATTATATCAAAAATAATATTATTATAACTTTTAAAAATTGAAATATAACTAAGAGGTTAAGAGATGTGGTGAGCTTAATAATTTTATTACAGTTCAATTGAGTTGGATAACTTCATGTTGATCTAATTGAGTTAATTGATCTTCTTCTTTGTGCTAGTCTTGCAAATTTAATTTATGAAACTTATAATTTCATACATGCTTGATTGGTGGTGGTAGATATTACATCATATATTTGATATATGATAAATGAATTATTTATTTTTGTTCACAATGTATCACATATATTTTTCATTATTCATAGATTGATTGTACGCTTATATTTATTCATGCATAATTATTATCTTATGACATGAAATTTTAAACACATGTTGCATCATGTGCAGCTTAGAAATCTTACATACATCATACATGTCATCTTTCAAGCAATCATAGTCTACAGCAACCGGTGAGGTGCTAAGGTTAGAAATATTGATAAAAACTACAATCAAACGCCTCAAACTGCATCTCAATAAATCATTGAGAGTAATAGCGCTTGCCCTAAATTACAATTTAGAATGGTACGAAGAGAAAGTCTACTGTATGGGATTATTTTGTAGAAACAAAAAAATTTCCTAATGAAGTTGAGACTCCTTCCCTACAACTGTCTGTTGTAGCATTAAGTTTCTTAAGTCAAAAACAGACACAATATCACAAATGTTTTGACATTTTAGGCAGTGTGATAAAATCAAATCAAGTCGATCACAATTTTTTTTATTGGATAAAGGATAAAAGAGACAATTTCTCACCCATTGATATTAATAATGATATTGACATTTCTATTTTATATGATCCTAAAAAACATAACCAACCATAAGTTAGAGAAAAAATTGCAAGGATGATTATTGTTTATGAATACCTTTTTAAGATGTTTAAGCACGCTTGGTTCAACACACTATTAAAATTTATGAACCCTAACTATGAAAGTATAACTAAAAACACTATAAAAACGAATGCATGTGAATTTATGACAACGAGAAGGAGAAGCTAAAAACTTACCTAAATCGTGTTCAAATGGTTTCACTAACATCAAATTGTGGACTTATTATCAAACAATAGAGTTTATGTGCTTAAATATCTATTTCATTGATGAATCTTGGAACCTTTAAAAAAAGATTATCAATTCATTGAGTTTTAGTCTCCTTATATTGATACATTTATTTGTGATATTATATGTGATTACTTGCTAAAGTGAAATCTCTGAAATAAAACTTCTATAATTACTCTCGACAAAGCTAGTAATAATGATTAGACAACAACTTATTTAGAAAAAATAAATTTTATGGCCTTTTTTTTATGTAAGATGTTATGCACATATATTAAATAGAATGATATATGATGATTTGAAAGAAGTTCGTGATCTAATTTAAAATATCAGAGTGTTAGTTAAATTTCTAAAGAAATTTCCTGCAAGCTTACAAAAATTTGTTGAGGTTTCAAAACAACTAGGAGCATATACATCATGTTTTCTATGTATTGATGTGCCCACATGTTGGAATTCAACTTATATGATGCTTGAGTCTGCTTTCATCTATAGTACTATTTTAATGCACTATGCAACTAGAGATATAAATTACAAGTTACCTTTAGACTCTGAATGTTTGAGGTATGATAAAATCAGAAATCTCTTGTTAATTTTTAATAATACTACCAAGATAATTTTGGCACCTCATATCCCACATAAAATATTTTTTTTTGTCAGCTATTATTTACATAAAAAAACTTACTTTGGAAGAATCTATATCTAAAGATGAGCGAATGAAAAATATGACTTCAGTCATTAGAACAAAATTTGATAAATGTTAGGGTCAGTGTAACTATTTGATGTCTTTAGTTATAACTAATGATCCCCGTTTAAAGTTAAAATTCATTTTGTTTATATTCTCTAAGATCTATGAAACACATGAGCTTGACTCTAACATTACAATTGTTGAGAAGGTTCTTTGGGAAATATATGCAATATATGCCGCTAAGAGTTTTAAACAGCGGAAGAGAAGATCAATATTCATGATACAATTGACATATAAGATCAAAACAATAACAAGCAAGAAAAGAAAATATCAATCATCTACATAGTAAATAGAAAACAAATAAAACTTCTCAAATATGTTTTATTTGATTTCTCTATCTCACAACGAAAAATGAGGAACAATATTATTTTATATCCCTAACACTCAGATAGAGATAAAAAAGGATAAGAAGAGGCAAAAAAACACATCTGAAAGACCTATCTCACCTTACTCGATTGCAAATTGATTATGTTAAGGGTCAAACACGAAAGATATAGACCAAAGAGATGTTTGCCCAAGCAGATGCAAAGAAGAACATGAAGAAAATGCAATTGCACGGAGAAAAAAAAACCCAATGCTAAGTGAGAAGTTCAACACTTAAAAAATCTTTCATAACAAGTAGCAAAAAAAGGGAAAAAATCTGATGCACCCACAATAGCTGTCAATAAAAATATTCAAGAATACTAAAATATCACAAGAGCTGTCAATAAATATCAAAATTATATATATAAACTATGAATTTTGAAATCAAAAGCATTAGCATTGTCACCCAGTACCAACTTAAATAGAACTCAAGAGTGAATGAGCAAGAGTGAATGAGCAATTGACTACTGAAATCATTCATATAAGACAAAGAGAAGATTTTTTTTTTATCTATCTCAATTCAAACTATAAAAAAAAAAAATAGTAACCTTAGTTTCAGATAATTCCGACTTTCTCTCTTTGTACAGGACGAAAAGAAACAAAAAAGGCAACCCTAAGCCGCTTAGGTCACACGATGAGGAGCGTAGGAGACGGTCAAAAGAAATAAGACACAAATGCGGAATGATTATGAAATAGGGGAGGCGACCAGAGGAAATAAGAAGGGTTAAGAACTTAGTTTTTTACGCCTAGTATAAGTATTATGTTTTAAGCTTTAGATCAATAGATGAGGATCCAATGGCTAAAATTAAATTCATATTATCTAAATTAAAGTACTCAATTAAAAAATATTCGGTATATTTTTTTTAATTATTATTATTGCACAACTTATATTATTAAATGGATAATATTTAACCTAAATTTTAAATATAAAATATTATAAAAATATTATTATTTAATTAATTTGAGCCAAAATAAGTCGAATACGAACAAACAAACCATTGTTCGTGTTTGGCTCGTTTATAAATTGAGCTCAAAATTTTTTTTTGGGTTCAGCTGGCTTGGTAAACAAACGAATCAAACACAAGCTACTTAACAAGCCGAACATGAGATGTTCATGAAAGACAGGTTATTTTGACAGCCCTACACCCACAAACACTCAATTGTTTGGGCCCGATAAAGCCCAGCCTCAAACCATAGATTATTCTTACATTACAAGGTCAACAACATCAACAAGAAATTGAACTAATGATATGATATATAAAATTATTTAATAATTTAGATGCGAAAGCATTATTTAAATGCAATAAGAGAATGTCTCTTACCACGTGTGCAAAAACAAAACTAGAAAATAAATAAAGAACATAAGAATTACCTGATATCTTAAAATCTAATGTCCACAATTGCCAGTTTCCACCTTCAAGCCTTCCAACTTATCATCTTCCTCCCCATGAGCAATATCATAGGTCGCATGAACACCAACTAGCACGTAATAGGCCAGCATTACCACAGTGCAGATTCCAAACCTAATGAATGCCTGGTATCCAAGAGATCCCATGAGAAAAATGTTTGTCACTATAGAGGCCGACGGCAGCCAAGGCACCAGTGGAACACCCCACACTTTAGGCATCCGCTGCTGAGGAATCAGCACAATCAACCCAAGCGTGCCCAAACACCAGAGTGGCACCGCAATTGCATACCCAATCCACCCTCTCGCTCCCGAGTTCCAGTACGCTGAAATCCCAATAGAGGAACCGACGATCAAGAGAAGCAAGGCAATGAGCTTCAAAAGATAGGATTTTGGAGTGACTTCCCTCACATAGTATCTTCTGACAAGCAACGCCACGGCCATAAGCATGAAGATGAACAGGGTACTAATGGAAGACACACTGGCGAGAACGTCGAGACTGGAGAAGAAGGCAATGATGGCGCTTGACAGCGTTACCAGAAGAGTGGCGTGGATTGGCGTACCTGTTTTCGGGTGGACGAGAGCGAAGAAGGGGGGTATCATGTGAGCCCTAGCAATCTGCGTCGAGTACCGAGCCTGGCCGAGAGTCCAGTGGTCATACCCTTGAGCGCGCCAAGCGCTACTAAGTACTTTGCCCATTTCATCCCGGTGGCGGCGAACGCGACGGAGTAAGCTGCGTTGGTGTCGAGCTCGGAGTATTTCTGCATCATCACCAAGGCAAGTGCCATCACGCAGTAAACAACAGTGATTGCCGACATTGATCCGATTAAGCCGATTGGAATGTCCCTCGATGGGTTCTTCGTTTCTTCTGCCATTGTTGCCATCATGTCGAAACCAGTATATGCCCAATAGACGACGGCAGCAGCACGGAAAACCCCACCTGCACCAAATGGGAAGAATGGGGATAGATTTGAGGGCTTGGCGTTAACAAATCCGGCGGCAATTACGAAAGCGATGACGAAAAGGGTGAGGATCGAGGCAATCCAATTGAGAATGGAGGTTCTGTGGGTGCCTAGGGCCGCAAAAGTTGAGCAGGAAATGAGGACGACGACCGCGATTGGGTCGAGAAGATTGAAACCCTCAGCGAGGGATGGAACGTGAATGCGGAGGGCGTCGGCGTCTCGGCCAATTAGGGTTGCGAAATAGGAAGTCCAGGAACGCGCAAGCCCTGCGGCGCCGACGAGTGCTTCGAGGAGAATGTTAGCCGCCGCGAGGTAAGCTGCAGTGTCGCCAAGCTCGACGCGGAGATATGAGAACGATCCGCCGGCGGAGGGAATCTCGACGGCGAACTCGGCGTAGCATAGGACGGATAGGAGTGCAGAAAGGCCGGCGGTGGCGTATGAGAGGACGATGGCGGGTCCGGCGTTGAGACGTGCTTCCTCGCCGGTGAGAACGAAGATACCAGTTCCCACGACGGATCCAAATCCAAGCCAGCCGAGATCCCACCATGTGAGGCAGCGGCGCATGGAGTTCTCGCTGCGGCGCCGGAGGAGGTCGGTCTCATCGGAATCAGAGGAGCGGTGGAGGAGGCGGTTGCGGAGACGGGGGAATGTGAGGGAGAGTGCGGAGCGGTAGGAGGACCAGCTGCTGAAGGAGGGTTCGGGGAAGAAATCGGATTTGGCGAATCTCCAGTAGCTTCGGGGGTTATGAGATTCGCCGGCGGCGGTGGTGGTTCGTGCCAGAGAATCGCCCGGCATCGTAGAAGATTCTGGGGGTTTGAGATTAGTTGGGGAAGAAGAAATAGGGCCCAGAAATGGTTCTGTTAAGGCAGATTCCATTCTGGCGGGGAATTCTAGTGGAACGGGAAAGGAGCGAATTTGACGGCGAAGGGAAATGCTGCTGTTTTCATATTCGGTGTATCTGGACGGAAAATGGTGACTAGAATCTGGTCGAGAGCCGGGAAATGGACTTTACAGGACTTTTTCCCCCCAAAAAAAAAATTTATAAGACCTTTTTAGCCTTCACATTATTGTGCTAAGTAGTCCATACAACTTCCAAATCACGTGTGACTATAATTTTAATATTATTTTCGTACATACATGTCACTCAATTTTTTTGTACACACAGACAGATATAAATATATAAATATATATATATATATAAT